CCACTCCATCAGCATTCAACATATCTGTGACTGTCGCGGCCACATTCTGAGGATCAGTGCCAGCTGTTCTGGGAACTGTCAGAATTACACAATGGAGAAGCTGCAGGTTTCTGTTTCCTTCCAATGTCCCTGGGCCATACGGGAATGGCTGCTGGAAAACAAAGGCTATCCCCACCAAATATTTCGAATGACACCGTTATGAAACCCTGAGAATGAAGCAAAACAAAGTTACAATGATATTTTACACTTACAGCAAAGCCCTAATGGAGCAGACCATTCACCTCCTTAAGATGAGGTTTGAATGTCTGGACCAGTGTGGTGGAGGTTTTGCAGGATAGTCCAGAAAATGTGCGCTGCATCATCATAGCATGCTATGCTGCTCACAACAGGAGCTAACAAGAGGGCGATTTTCTGCATGTAGACAAAATGAGGGAACAACAACAATCTTCTAAGTGTGAAGATCGGGTCTTGACCAGATCCAAGAGGAAGGGACTCGGAGAAGGTCAAAGACTCCATCTTACTCTCGCCTTGTGCACGAACGGTGAGCACCGATGGCCGGAACGATGGAGTGTAAGTCCATACACACGTGGCAGGCACGGTGTGTGCTGGACCTGCCTCTCCACGACGGTCATCAGCCTATTCACAGAGCCAGCCATTCACATGCATGTCCGAGCCAGCACAGCCCTAATCATGTACCCCCATTCTTTGATCCAACTTATCTACTGATTCTGACAAAGCTGTCTGTCTCCTGCAGTCCACTACATGTCAGAGACATGGAGCGTTTCTTCATCAGCCAACTGTCGAAACATATCAATGACATGCTCAGCAAATTGTGCTCCAGAGTCTAATACAGAAAGAATACCCACTGCGGTGAAAGTCTCTGAGCTGGTGGTGGGCGCAGGGAAATTCTTGCCAGCGTATCCTCTGAAGGTTCAGTGACTTCCTCCTCAGAGGTGCAGGTAGAGCTGAGGCATTCTGGTGTTGGTGCCGATAGGTTCCTGCATAAGAGAAGAGCAAATTAGGAGTTTAACAGAATGGAAGCTTGTGCAAATTAGAAATGAGTTAGCTCTGTGTTAATCTGAAGTTGCACAGCACAGCAAAATGAAGCTGATTGGGTTGTTTGGCCACTGAGTTCTCTCCATCCCCACGTGAGTGGTCATGCTGTTCTCTGGCTCTCTTTCTCCTGGTAGAGAGTGAGGAGGCTGAAGCACATCAACTCCTACTGGACCTGGACCCCTTGACCCAGCTGTGGGCCAAATTTTCCTGAAATGGGGAACTGAATATGATGACAGTGGATGGAAGAACAGTTGGTGGTGACGCAGGAACAGGGGTCTTGTGAGGTGTCTCCAGAGAGTTGGTAGAAAGTGCTGATGGTCGGAAGGGTTGGTAGTTTGACTGTTTGGTAGGTGGATCAGAGCTGCTGAATGGACATAATTCAAGAATAAAAGAGTCCATGAGCTTTGGTGAAATGCACGTGCAGTGACAAAGTCAGAATGAGTGGTGACCCGATGAGCATCAGGTAGAAAATAGAAGATGGTAGCTCTTATCCTTGTGATACAATGAAGATCATGGTCCCTTTTCCTGCACTGACCAGTTCTGGGCTGTTTCCAGGCTGCTTAGGTCTGGTGGTATGGACTCCTGTGACAGTTTGTTGGAAAAATGATTGCCCTCCTGTACACCAACCAGCAAAACTTCCAGGTCCCTAACTGGAATCAGGGAGTGAGCTTCCCTTTCCACTGGGCCATGTCCTGAATGTACAGGCTCAAACACCATGGAATGAGGGTTTGTTCCTCACTTGCCCTGTTGGAAATTGTATGTTGCTGGCACCATTTGGCATGTACACCAAAGGTCCCAGCAGTAATAAGCATCTCTCTCATTGCAGCCAGCTGCCTGCCTGAGAATGAAGCCCCAGAGCCTAGTTGTGCATGAAAGGTTGCTATCAGCCATGTTGGACTTACTTCCATGAACATCACTCAACCCACACTGAAAGTGGGAAAATTCCACCTATGATGTTCTCGATAATGGTTTTTAAAAGGTTGCAATTACATTTCTGCATGGACGACTTTGGGTAATTTGCCGTCAAACTAGTGAGTTAGAACGATTTTTACAAATAGTTTTTAAAGAGGTGCGAGTGAGATTTGAAAAATTAATCCAGGGTCTGTTTTGTGTGTTTCAAATTGTCAATAAAGAGCAACTACACTCTGATTAATTAACTTTGGTTTAGAAGAAAGGTCATGTACCATGGTAGTGCTGTGCACATTCAAATAAACAAAGCTACTGGGATCAAAAGCTCCAAAAGATCATTCTACTTCATTTAGAGTGATTTGATTTTCTCCCTCTTTATTAAATGACCATCGTAGTACAGACACAGGTCAACGTCTCATGAACCTGTCTCTGAGAATTGTTACAAGTGCAGAAATTCTTGTAAAATTAGCACTGAGAGGTTTACAGTCGTTAAGTTCAACTCATGCTTGAGTTGGCACTTGGAGCTCTGCCTATCAGACAATGCTTAAGCCTCAGCTGAGACAAGTTGTTGCTCATGATATTCATGACACAAGACTGTTTCATTGCAAAGAGGGTGACACACTGCTGGAATGCACTACATTATGTCCTGAAAGGGTTAATACTTGATTGAGTGCACTGAGCAGCATCTGCTGTGATGATGTCACAGGGACTGAGAGTGAAGTGACTGAACTGAAGCTAGTGTGCTCCCTGTGATATGGATTATATTCATGTAATGGTAATGCAATAAACTTCATCTCCTTCATTAAATACCACTCTTCTCTCAGACCAGGAAGGTAGTTATTCTTAACTTTATGTAACACCATTCACTCAACCGAATAAGTTATCAAGATGGTTAAGGCTCAGATCAAGATTTTTTGCAGGAAACAGCTAGATACTTCAATAAAGATGTGGGTTCTGAAAGAGTGAGGTAAAACAAGAGTGTTGGGGAATACTGTGATATGATGAAGTTCCTTTCATTCAAACTTATGACAGCTTTGACTAAAAGTGGCTAAAATACACTGTGGTCGATGTGGAAGAGAAAAGTGTTGAGAACATTTGAAACTATTAGTGTATTTGGTAAAGGCAAATAGTGGCTCACTTGATCAAGTTGCTTGAAGCAAAGACATGGCTTGATAAGGATAGTGTGGTCAATATTATGTATATAAACTTTCAGACACTTTTGTCAGTACCACACAGATTCATCAGCAAAACTGAAGCCTATGGGATTAAAGAGACAGTCACAAACTACATACAGATTGTGTCCCTGAGACAAAGTAACAAGTAGTGGTAAGCAGTTCTCAGAGTAGAAGAAGATACATGGTAGTATTGACCACAGATCAACGTTAGAACCACTTCTGTTTTGGATCTGTATTAGATTCAGCTGTGCAGAATGCAATTTCAATGTTCGAACACGAGACAAAAGTCAGAAATGTAATAAGCAAAGAGTAGGATCGTAAGCGGAGGACAGAGGCCATTGAAATGATCGGAGACACAGCAAACAAAATTGAATTTGAAGGAATATGAAGTGGTACATTTTGGAAGGAAGAGGACAACAAATGTGAACTGAACAGTACAGTTTAGGGGGTTGCAGGAACAGAAAGATAGCTGTAAAACTATGTCAGTGTGTAAAGCTAGGAGGCTATTAAAATAAATATAGAATCCTTGGTTTTAGTAACATAGGAATAAAATTAAACAGCCTGGAAGTTATTAAAACTTTAATAGACACTGATGATGCCTCAGGAGCAGTATTGCTTTCAATTGTAGGAACTGTACTTTAGGAAGGATACCTAGGTCTTGAAGTCCGGAAGAGAATTACTGCATTGCTAATCAGGATGAGGAACTTGAGCTGAGTGAAGAAATTAGAGAAGCTGAATTTGCTCTCATTAGAACAGAGAAGGTTAAGAAGCGATGTGAAAGTGTTGTTAAAAATTGTCAATACTTTTCAGTAAATAAGGAGAATCTGTTTCCAGGAGCAGAACAAATTTAAGGTCATTGAATTATGAGCCAGAGGTAACATGAGAAAACTTGTTTGCCTGTGTAAGTTGTTGTGACCTAAAATGCACTATCTCTAAGTGTGGTGGAATCAGATGTGGTTGTAACATTCAAAGGAGAATTAGATACATACTTTGGGAGAGAAATTACAGCATTCTGGAGACCGAATAAGGTTTGGCTTTGAAAACAAAAAATGCTGGAGATCACAGCAGGTTAGGCAGCATCCATGGAAAGAGGAAGCAAACTAATGTTTCGAGTCAAAATGACTCTTCCTTAGCTTGCTGTCTGTCCATGCATGCTGCCTGACCTGCTGTGATCCCCAGCATTTTTTTTTGTTTTCAGTACAGATTCCAGCATCTGCAGTAATTTGCTCCTACATAGGGTTTGGAATTAATTGTTAGCTCTGCCAAAATAAGACATCTTAATCATAATGAGCTAAAAAAGCTGCACTGTATCATTCTATAATTACACTGACGCTTCTTCAACATATCTTTAATGAAAGAAATAAAGTGAGAATTTGTATTTAATCCAGTTTCTTGGTTGCAATGTTTTTTATATCTCACTTTACAATTTGAACAGGCCCTTCAATATAATGAAGTTGTGGGTCTATTTGTCATCAATTTACATTTGCTCTGTCAGTCTAAAGAATGTCTTGCCATGATTTACCACTTGTATTGAACGCCATAAAATTATTGATCATTGTGTTCCATTTCTTGGTGTATATGTAACGTGTAAAAATACGTTCACTGCAATGTGGAAAATCAAAAATATTGATGAAACTTGTTTTTGCTCGTAACATGTCAGATTATAGTATGTCTCGACTGAAATGCAGATATTTACCACAAATAAATGACAGCTTTACACAATGCATAGTAATAGCATATAAAAATTGATAGCCCCTATTGTAATGGTATTTGTCAGCTATGTATGATGCATGTTATATGTTTTCTTGGTGCAGAAAGAATTTTGTCATGTATTCATGATTTTCATATTTTGCCTCACAGGTTAATGGTAAGGACCTATCCAGAGCAACCCACGAGCAGGCAGTAGAAGCTTTCAGAACAGCCAAAGAACCCATTGTTGTACAAGTATTGCGAAGAACTCCACGGACAAAAGTAATTAACCCATCTCACGAATGTCAGCTGGTAGATATGGGCACGCAGACAGATATCACCTTTGAACACATCATGGCATTGGCCAAAATAAGACCACCTACTCCACCAGTTGTGGTACTGGAACAGTACCTTTTGCCTGAAGAGTAAGTTTATGTTTATTATTATTATAATTATACTTACGTCAGGAGCAAAATAATGTTTTCAAGTTGCTTTGATGTGTACAATTAAGTTGAATCATGAACTGTTAGCTTAGGTATAATTATGTATAAAAGAGCATAGATTGAGATAGTTTGCTGGTCTGGAGGCAGTGCTGTTTAAATGGTATCTCTAACTCATTTAAATCATGTAAAACCCACCATCAGCATGAGTTAGTTGGAAAACTACCAATTACTTTTGAGGGCCCTGAAGGTATTCCATAATATTAGATTTTATTGAAGGTAGACAATAATTTATGTTCTAATCTCCTCAGATTTTTTACAGCTATTGCTTAAAACCCCAACATGTATTTCTTTGAAAGAATAGTTTCGACTTTGCAGATTTTCTTAGTCAGTTATATCAGATAACTTGAAGTATTTAACATAGGTAAGTCTTTTTTTGAAGAAAAGTACTTCTATTGTATTGTTTAACTGCAGCACATAGAGTCATACAGTCACCCAGCACGGAAACAAACCTTTTGGTCTAGGCAGTCCACACATAACATAAACCCAAACTAAACTAGTCCCACCTACCTGCCCTATCCTTCCAAATCCCTCCAAGCATTTCCTATTCATGTATTTATCCAAATACCTTTTAAATGTTGTCATTGTGCCCACATCCACTACTACCTCAGGAAGTTCATCCCTCACGCGAACCTCCCTCTGTGTAAAAAAAAAAAATTTGCCCCGTATGCCTATGATCAGTTTCTGTGAATTGGCATGTTACCTTTGCGTGGTAGTGCTAAGTTAAGGAAAAGATCAAAGCATTCTTTGAAAAGTTATATGCCAGGAAATTCAATATGTGCCCAAAGCACAGGCAAAAGCTCCATGGGAGCAGATGCGATGGTAACATTCAGGAAACTTACCTCCAGGATACATGAACACCAACTCGCAGCAAAACAGCATGACCAACTCTCCCATGTTTCAATACACTCCGACACAGAAGGACATCAATTTGACTGGGACAAGGTTACAGTACGAGGACAAGCAAGACAAAGACAAGCACGAGAATTCCTGGAGGTCTGGTTTTCAACCACCGATGCAATTATCAAACATGTTGAACTAGGCCCCATCTACATACCACTACGGTAGAAAGTTGGAAACAAGACTGCCCACCATGACAGACCGGACCTTATAAATTCAGAGTGGGACAGAACAACAGCGCTTCAACGGAGGCTGCGCAGCACTGACGCTGTCACCTAGAAGGGAGACAAAATGTTTGCATGAAAACCAGTCAGCTCGGCAAACCAACCAACAACTCCAACCGCAACCCGAGCTCCAGATCTTCGTTAAAACATTAAATTCAGAAGAGAATTGGAAAGTACTTGAAGGAGGAAGTGTTACAGAGCTATGGGGAAAGAATAATGGAGTGGGACAAATCCCCAAATTTAGTTTTGGGTCTCATTTATATACCAGCAACACCAGCCTTATAATCCCTGCTATTAGTTCTATGCTGAAGAAGGTGGGCATCGAAGAAAGCTGCCCACAAGGATCCACTGTTCTCTGTGATATGGATTTAATCTCTCCTGGCATTAACGTTATTCTGGAGTGAGCTGCAAGGGATCTCGGACATCCAACAACAATGATGACACGAAGCAGTTTAAACAGAGAATCGATCTGAAAATTTTCAGGGATAGCCAATCAGGAAATAAGAAGCAACAATTCATCTTCACTTTGGAATAATTTTATAGATAAATGTTGGAACTATGCATGAACTTCTAAAAACAGGATGTTTCCATCAAATCAAACTGTTTCTCAAATTTAACCTGTCAGAACTGCTTCAGTAGAGGACCAAGGAAATCACCTATGACTGGATTTCCATGTTTAATTTTGTAGGTGCAGGTGCCAAAATATGCTATCAGTTTCAGAGTGATGACAGCCAACGTTGATGTTTTAGCCTTCATTACAACTGCTAATTCTGCGTCAGGGTTTCACAGACAAAATACAGAGTACAAGATTAAGAGGTGTCCAACATGTTAATATTTCCACTCTTGCTGTCTAATAACTCATTCAAGACATTGCATTAGAAACCAGTAGCTCGGTTAAGCATGGAGCATTTCAGAGATTCATTATGAAAACTGCCCAAGTTTGTTTCTGTTGGTGATGGGCATTTTCTTGAGTATAATTGTGACCAATTAACTGGGCAAAAGAAAAAAAATCAACCATTAAAATAATCCTTAGTTGGCATATATGGTATACTATATATGAATAAACATTTACTTACAATGGGATACATGGTTTCTTTAGTTTTCATCCATAGAATGATACCTACTCGGAGATGCCTAAATAGAATATCAATACGTCACTAATTTCAAAACCAGCTTTAGAGAAATGTACTTATGTCTGTTTATTTCTTGGCTTGTGTTTTCCATGTTATCAATAATACCAAAGATTAAATAATTGGCATATGAAGTATCTTAAGGCACAACACATAGTGAAGTGCAACATCTCACATAGCCATTCAGTATACTGACCCTTCAATGTATTTGTGCAAAGAATATTTATTTTCTCATCCACTGTCCACTCTTAGAGGCTTTGAAAATTTAATAGAAAAACATTAATCATACTAACTGTTTTACAAGTTTACATTGCCGCCTTATATCATTTGTATTATATTCCCTCTTGGATTTCCCTTCCAAACATATATTGCAAGGTAATGAAAATTGATCTTTTAGCTTTCAGTGGTAATAGTATAAATGCACAAAAACATGTGAGTGTATGTTCCAGTCATTTCTGAACAGATTTCACTGAGGAAATAGCAAAATTTATAAGCGCCATTTATCATTTCAGAATTTAAAAAGTTGCTCACTTTTATGTACTGTTAAATATATACAGCATTTTCAATTTCTTTTCATGTAACAGGAGACCCATAATTTGGAAAAAAAATTGAATGAGGTTACCAAAAATTGTATCACTATGGAGAGTGAACTCTTTAAAATTATATCATACCCTTACCTGCAATTTTGGAAACACTTCTAATTAATAAATGACATTTATTCCAAGTGTATATAATTATTTTATTTAGTGACAATTTCTTTTCAAGCTGTTCTACAATACATATGTGTGCCTCTTAAGACTATTCTTGTGAATGTTACTTTACCTTTCAATGAAAAGAAACAGAAGTTAAATTTTGACTTCAATTAAGTATCTCAACGTCTAACAGTTACATCTGTGAGGTAATTGTTCTAACTTTTCTACACCCATAAAATGGCAGAGAGTCAGAGAAAAACACATTATGAGAAAATCTAATCATTTCCTTTTCTTAATTTGATTTTACTTCTAAAATACCAAGTTGAATTTTGAAAGAAAACAAAACCTCTTCGAGCAAGAAAAACCAATTGGCCCCAAGAAAGTTCACTGACTTCATTCACAATTTGCTATGCTCTGGGAAAACAAGCAATTCTGTTTAATGACTGTTCACTGAGCTTTGTCATATGCATGTTTAGTTTGAAGTAAGCTCTGAGGTTGAAGAAGGAACTTAGTGAGTGATACACTTTCAAGTTCAGTTGGAGTCATGCAGTCATAGAGCAAAAGACCCTTCGATCCAAACTCATCCATGCCGACCAGATATCCTAAATTATTCTTGTCCCATTTGTCAGCATTTGACCCATATCCTCGTTAACCCTTCCTTTACATATACCAATCCAGATGCCTTTTAGATCTCGTAATTGTACGAGCCTCCACCACCACTGCTGGCAGCTCATTCCATACATGTACCACCTTCTGCATGAGAAAGTTGTCCCTTAAGTCCCTTTTAAATCTTTCCCCTCTCACCTTAAACCTATGCCCTCTAGTTTTGGACTCTCCCACCCCGGGGAAAAGACCTTGACTATTCACCCTAACCACACTCCGCATGATTTTATAAACCTCTATGAGGTTATCCTTAGCCTCCGACACTTGAGGGAAAATAGCCCTAGCCTATTCAGTCTCTCCCTATAGCTCAAACCCTCCACCACTGGCAACATCCTTGTAAATGTTTTCTGAACCCTTTCAAGTTTCATGACATCCTTCCTATAGCAGGGAGACCAGAATTACAAGCAGTATCCCAAAATCGACCTTAACCAATGTCCTGTACTGCTGCAACTTGGTCTTCCAACTCCTATACTCAATGCACTGACCAATAAAGGCAAGCATACAAAATGCCTTCTTCACTATCGTTTCTACGTGGGACTCTACTTTCAAGGAACGATGAACCTGAACTCCAAGGTCTCTTTGTTCAGCAACATTCCCCAGGACCTTACCTTTAAGTGTATAAGTCCTTCCCTGATTTGTCTTTCTAAAATGCAGCACCTCACATTTATCTAAATTAAACTCTGCCACTCCTCGGCCCACTGGCCCATCTGATCAAGATCCCGTTGCAGTCTGACGTAATCTCCTTCGCTGTCCACTACACCTCAATTTTGGTGTCATCTGCAAACCTACTAACCATACCTCCTATGTTCACATTCAAATGATTTATGTAAATGATGAAAAGTAGTGGACCCAGCATCGATCCTTGTGGCACATCGCTGGTCGCAGGCCTCCAATCTGAAAAGCAACCCTCCACCACCACCCTCTGTCTTCTACCTTTGAACCAGTTCTGTATCCAAATAGCTGGTTCTCGCTGTATTCAATGTGATCCAACTTTGCTATACAGTTCACCATGAGGAACCTTGTCGAACACCTTACTGAAGTTCATATAGATCACATCCACTGCTCTGCCCTCATCAATCCTCTTTGCTATTTCTTCAATATACTCAATCAAGTTAGTGAGACACGATTTCCCACGCACAAAGCCATGCTGACTGTCTCTAATTGGTCCTTGCCTTTCCAAATAGGTATAAATCCTGCCCCTCAGGCTTTCCTCCAACAACTTGCCCACCACTGATGTCAAGCTCACCAGTCTGTAGTTCCCCGGCTTCTCCTTACCACCTTCCTCCAATAGTGGCATCAAGAGTGCCAACCTCCAGTCTTTTGGCACTTCACCTGTGCTTAACGATGTTACAAATATCTCAGCAAGGGGCCCAGCAATCACTTCACTAACTTCCCACAGAGTTCTTATGGTACACTTGATCAGGTCCCAGGGATTTATCCACCTTCATGCAATTTAAGACATCCAGCACCACCTCCTCTCTAAGATGGACATTTTTCAAGATGTTGCTATTTATTTCCCCACATTCTCTATATTCCATATCCTCCTCTACAGTAAACACTGAATCAAAATACTCGTTTAGTATCTCCCCCGTCTCCTGTGTTTCCATGCAGAAGCGTCCTTGCTGATCTTTAAGGAGCTCTGTTCTCTCCCTAGTTACTCTTTTGTCCTTCATGTATTTGTCAAATCCCTTTGGATTCTCCTTAACCTTACTCGCCAAAGCTATCTCATGCCCCCTTTTTGCCCTCCTGATTTCTCTCATAACTATATTCCTTTACTATGGATTCTCTCGATCCTTGCTGGCATCTGCTTCCTTCTTCTTGACCAAAACGTCAATTTCTCCAGTCATCCAGCATTCTCTCGACCTACAAGCCTTGCCCTTCACCCTAACAGAACCATACTGTGTCTGGACTCTTGATATCACATTGCTGTTTTTAGCATATTTTTGGTCATTTGGAATTTCAGAACAAATTGACTTCTTGGAGTTAATTGGTCCAGCAGTGAGGGAGGCTGGAATACTTTAAGTGGACCATTTATTAACCAGGAATTTGTCAGTGTCCATGTCATGTTCATCGTATATGTTTTTTTTCTCAAACTCCTCACCTTGTTGGGATTAGTAATTGTGCCTCGCCAGGACCTGAAATGTAATTAACATTGAGTGATTAAACAAAACTATCAGAACAAGTATACAAGATTGCATTCAATCAGACACAATTCAAGTTGATTACAAGTTTTCTAACAACTTGTAAATTGTTCCTGAGAGATTTCAAAAGAAAGGTTATTATCATGCAAGTGAATGCATCAGAAGCTCAACTTTTGGCGAAAATGTTAATCGATATTCAACGTAGTATTTCCAAAATTGCAGGTGAAAGTGAGACATCTTAAAGACTTCTCTCTCCATAACAATTCCAGTGGTACAATTTTTAAGTTTTGTCAGCTTGTTAAATAATTTTATTTAAACAACTAATGGAGACATTAATGTGCCTCTGATTTGGAAAAGCAAAGTACAAGAGCTAAATTAATAACATCATAGATGACAGCAAAAGCCTGAATTTGGCTCACTCATGCTGAGAGTCCTGTGATGTTGAACCTTATGTGGTCAGCATTTGCTTCAACAGAAAAATTAAAGCATTGTACTGAATTTTAAAAAGCTGTATGTTTGGATAATTCTTTGTCTGTATTTTTTTTAATTTGCAAGTTGTATTAAATTGTATTATCATATGTATATTCTGTTTATTATAAATTATTATTATTTTTAAATTACAATTGTGCGTTCACAGTATTTCGATAGTGAAACAAATCTTCAATAGAAATAAAAACAAAGTTGCTGGAAAAGCTCAGCAAGTCTGGCAGCATCTGAGTTCTGAAGAAGGGTCACCAGACCCGAAACATTAACTCTGTTTTCTCCTCCACAGATGCTGCCAGACCTGCTGAGCTTTTCCAGCAACTTTGTTTTTGTTCCTGATTTGCAGCATCCGCAGTTCTTTTGGTTTTTCTTCAATAGAAATGTTTGTACAAAGTTGAATTTAAAACATATTGTTATAAATGTGGGAAAGATTTCCAGCTTTTCCTACAAAGAACAGAAAACATTAACACTGCAGGATATACCAAGTTGCTCAGTGTAACACATTGTGGAGAAAAGGTAAACCTATGAAGAAACTGTTTCAAGAGCTGTAATAGTGTAGCCACAAAGCTGTAAGAGTTAAGCTTCACATTTGATTGAAATTACGTTGGCTCAGAGCAAACAAAGGTACTCTGTCACCTGTTAAAGTGATACTGAAATGTGGTGAAAAAGAGCAGAATACTGGGACAAGAATTCTACGCAAACAAATCAGCAAATACAACTTAAAGACAATAAAGACCTTGGGTCTTTTCTATAGCCAATGTGTTAGAGAAAATAATTTGAATTAGAAAAACTGCTAATGCATTCATTTTAATGCCAAAAACAGAGAGGAAATTAGTCAGTGCTGTCAAAATTTGAATGATGCCCAGAAAATTGAATTTTCAGGATGTGTTGGTTCGGCTCATAAAGTAGAGGATTTTGATCACGAATCACAATGATTCTTCGGAGGAGTCAATACGCTGGGCCAGTACCTTGGAATCCCTGACCTGTTCTTTTTGGCAGTCCCTCCGGGCAATTTTACATGATGTTGGATCTGCATACACTGCCACAGGTGAGACAGGTGGTGTTTGAAGAAACGGAGTTAATCCTTACTTTGTAACTAAGTCTTAAACCCAGGCAACAGTGGTAGAATGCTGAATCCTAATCACTGGAAAATTAGTGACCTAACTCTATAATGGGAGCAACAACATGGCATGAGCTGAGACAGTTCAATGAGAAGGCCATCTCCTACCTTCTAAACACAACTAAGGGATCATCAATAATGAAAACCTGTCAAAACTGCCGACATCTCAAGAACGTATAAAATGATCAACAATTCTGAAACGAGAGTTTCACTAAAGTTCACTAGAGTCACTCCACTGAGATTGTAAAGATTCCTTAACTTCACTTCTCTTTGTCTGAATTAATGAGAATTGCTGTCACACAACAAAAGAAAAGTTCATTGTGTTCTGTTTGGGAAGTATAATTATTGGGCAATGCCAGCAGTCAGGTTTCCTGCGGATCCTTTTTGTTTGAATTGAGGTTCATGATAAATATTGATTTGCAAGATGTTATTGTGCTTTTTGCTTCATAAAAAGCTAGCAAAAGCATGCTGTGTCAAGCGGTCTGTTTTAGGGAAGACGGGATATGCTTTATATAAGCTGCAATGCAACAATCACTGCACAAAAACAGAAGTATGATTGACTGCTGAAACTCCTTGTCCGATATTAGAACCTGGACGGACTACAACTGTGACTAATTCAATCCCTTTTGCTTGGTTGTTAAAAGATATCGCAACAATATATGGTTCTGATATTATTATGTGTTGAAATCCACATTACTGTTATTTCCATCTTTTTCAATTATTTTGTTGCCGTATTTGATTATAATTAATTTGAAATATGAGTCATCTTATTCACATTTGTTTTCACGGTAGACATCCATCAGGACAGGATTATTACGATGCAAATGACTATTTGGGATTGCAAACTGAACTGGACAGAGAAGAATTAGAATACGAGGTGAGTTCTTTGTGGAGGTCAGTCAGATTGAAAACCTATCGAGTATGGTATATTTTAAATTTAGAAGATTTTCTTCATTTTATTGTAAAATATTTATACGGCATAAGCAACTATGCACACTTAGTCCTCCTGCACATGGTGGTTTAAGGACATTTTTCCACATGTAACGTTAATTCTTAAGTGAAAATCTTCAATTATGGTTGATGGCACAATTGGCAGCAAAGTATGTCATTTATTTCACAAAGTACAAACTTTTTTGTGAAATGGAAATATTTCAACTACGTATGTCTACTATGTCATGCCTTCAAGAAAAACAGAACAAAGATCTTTATTTTCTAGTCTCTAATGTTTAATCAATAGAATCTTTAATATGTCATCACTGAGAATATATTGCGAGTAGCTGGATGTAATTTTGATGCTGAAGTATACGGCATCTTCAGGATATTAACAGAATGCTTTGAGCAATTGATGAGTTCTAATAATTTTCCACCCTGTTCTGTGCAGCTTTTGATCATGACTTCTCCAGAAGCTTCAACTTCTGACTCTGCGTTTCATATTATGTTGTGAAACGTTCACCATACTGAAACTTTGTAATAAATTGGTACACTTTCAAAAATCATTAACTGCATAATAAGTTAGAATAAATCTACTTTCAGGTCATTAATTTTCAAAGTTGCTATTTTGATATCATATATCATCAACACATCAAAGCAGCTGAAATTAGCTCAGAAATTGTAACAGTTAGTAATTAAATTATAACGTTAATGTGACATGAAAAGAAAAATATCGAGCTTGAAATACTGAAGCTTTTTGCTGTTAATTCTTTTGTGATGATGTGAGCCAGACCATTAATGATAGTGACTTTGATATACTGCACAGTGGCTAAAGGTGAGCGGCACAATGACACAGACAGCTGAGCATTGGGAAACTCTTAATGGCCTGATAGTATGTCTTGAGCCACTAAAGAAGCTTGTTCAAATCTTGAAGACAAAGATCAATGGAGAGGTCAAAGTACTAACAAAGCAGAGCTCCAATACCTTTCTCAGTTACTTTTTGTTGTCTGTTGATAAATGCTTTAGAACAGACCACAGAGACACTTGTTCCATTTACTGTAATGGAAATGTCGAAATGTGCAAGAAAAATATCAAGTCAGCCTTATGGGGTTTCTCTCCAACGGACGTGCATGGAATTTAATTGTGTTAGCCATGTAAGGATCAGCTATTGTTTTCGGTAAAATGTCTGTATCAAATCAACAGTTTAGTGAAACAAGCAGGATAAGTAAAATAACTTATCAGCAATTATTAATTGTTTATTTGTAATGTTTAGATTACTTTTTATTTTAAAAATTTCATTTCTAAAGAGCTAATATGCATTAACATAAGATGTGAATATTGTTCGATAACTTTAAATTCTGTATTATTTGCTTCATGTACATGATGGAAAATAGTCACTTAAAGTCAACTCGAGAAATGCTGGCATCAGCCTTTTTAAAAATGAAAGGCAAAGGTGAAGCAGTTTTGGTTTCTAGAGTAGCCAATTCCCAAGCTTGAAAATGTTAACATGCTGAAATTAATCTATTTAACATGTGCAAATACAAAAAAAATTGTAAATTATGCATTAGTATATGCAGAATTGACAGTTCAGAAAACATTTGGAGTTAAATTACGACTTCTAAGAGATGAAATTCAAGAATTAGAATACAGAGGACAATAAAGAATTGAATTGGGAAATATTGTCACCAGACCTGGTTCATTCTACCTGATAGGCTTGCTTCTTGGAAAATGCTGTGAAATGAAACGTTGTTTCAAAGTATAATATATGCTGCCTGAGGCATAGCAGTCATAGTAGAAAAAGGACAGCCACAATGAAATTCCAAGTCAGGGTTCCAGAATGTGTTTTGTTTGTTGGCTTTCTTGTTATTAAGCACTGTATTAAATGCTTACATTTTTTAAATGAAGGGTCTACAAATGCAGCATATAGCTGGTATGAAGTAACGGAAACTTGTGTTGTCGTCTATAGTCTGCAGTTCAGTTAAGAAAGCTGGATAGCAATATGACTATCTAATGTTGATTAACAACTAAATTGCAACTCACAGCCCCAACCATTGGTTCATTGTTACCACATTACCAGAACTGGAATAACTTCTTTCCCATTTAATAGGTTTATAACTGTCATTCATTTCTGTATTGTCACTAATAATGTGGATTTTGAATCTCACATAGTATTCCTTTGCCATTTTTCAAATAATTTATGCTTTGAAAAAATTGAACACTTACAAAACTGATTTGAGCTTACATAAAATATGGCAGAAGTGTCATGGAAGGGAGAACTTAATGAGCAAATTGCAAAATTTGGCAAATTCAGAATGAAGATTGCTGGTTTGTCTACCTCTGCCTGACAGTGGGCATGCAGAACTATCATAATGTATTTTTCAGTTTCTGAATGACTGTCTGAGAATTAATGATGTGCATGCCTCTAAATCATTAACAGTGCGATTGTTCAGCAGTTGGGATATACACATATCTTCTAGTCGAGTGTATTTACATCAATTTTTGTTTGCTATGTACTAAAGACGGTGAAAATAATTTTGTTATGTCTTACCGTAGGACCATAAGAAATGAGGGCTGTTCAGCCCCTCAAGCCTGCTTCCACCATTCATGGCTGATCCCCATTGACTACAACTCCTTGACATGCGATTCACGAATGATATCACATGGTCGCTGTGGAACGCAGCTTCAATAACGCATGTTGTATTCAAAGTCCCAAGTTATGGTTTCATTTAAAGTCCTATGTCCCAAATCCCCCACAATGTTTATACAGGCAGTATTGTTTTCTCCCCTCTTTGCTGAAAAATAGACTTTATAGGAAAAAGTTAGTGATAAATGGTTGTCAGTGTAGATTGACTTAGATATTTATGTTTAAAGCTGACCCTGAATTGAACTGACATACAGAACACTAATAATGAAAATGCAACCCCATTGTGATCATCAGTAATGTGCAGAAAAATATTTTTTGGTTCTCATTGAACTTAGGTTCTTGCATGTTTGGCTTGTTAGATGTAAAAGAATTACATAGGTTCACTTTCCATAATGACATGTTGTCCAAAGCACAAATAGCATGTTGATTTTTTTAAAATTCTCCTAGAGAAGAAAATTCATCTTCAACAGCAGTGCATGATGGGAGATATGAAAACAGTAGCGCACACTCATTTTGTGCCCTGCTGAAGTCAAATTTCACACCAAGCACATTTTTTATATAAAGCATAGATATATATGTGTGTGTATGCAGAAAGGTAAAAGTCAAATCAATTGTTGAAATTCATGTTACATTTTAAGGTTAATGTACTTGGGAGCCTGAGGTGTTTTCTGTGATGAGCTGGTTCAGGAAATGAAATATAGCCCATATCGAAAAGACTTTTTCCATACTCCAACCAACAATGTTTATTACAGAATTACCTTAAAGACAAGTGGAAAGCAATTGAAGAAAAATGAATGCATTTTGATGCAACAACACTGACTTTCTAGATGAGTAATAGTAGCCATCTGGATTGGTAAAAATGTATTTTTTCTTTCAAGAATGTTTGACAATTTTTGAGCATCATACAAAATATATGGACACGTCGATTATGCAGTTTCTGTATGAATCTGACATACTAGAATGAACTGATTGAAGCTCATGAAGACCTTCATTGCATGATGCATAGGGTTTCTGCTGAGTGCTTACAATGTCACTATATTGTGAGAAACTCAACCTAAGGAAAATTAAATATGAAGCATTGTAATCAGATCTGAACATCCGATCTGAATTTGAGTGAAAAATCTCAATTTACTCCAAACACCTCGCTGAATTCTGTCTCAATTTGTCTTGAATTAGGAAGTAGACTTGTACAGATTACACAGTCAAGACAAGCTTGGTCTCACAGTTTGCTATAGAACGGATGATGAAGATGACTTGGGAATATACATAAGTGAGGTAAGAAGCACATATTGCATTGCATTAGGTCCTCACGTAACATTGCTTCATTTAATATTAATTCCCTTATGTTGTGTAGCTAATGGGTCTAACATCTTGTTGACATCCTGAGGTTTGTTTTAGTATTATTTCCTGCCTGACTGCAGTTCCATAGATCAATGACAAAGACGTTTCTTTGCACCTGCTAGAAAATCAATCCCTTGTACTAAACACAATAATTCCACCGTCCCCCACACCAATCACCATGTGACTAAACCATACTAAACACCAAGTGGATCCTGTAAATCCTGCACCAGTACTAAATGGCTGTACATCTCTGTGTATACTATGAACTCACCTGCAACAGGCTAAAAGTGGCTTCCCCAATGAGATCCGATATCAGAGTTCCATGTGAGCAACCATGTTGGAAATGAATGAGACCAGCAAGAAGAACGAGTAGCTTTGGCTATTTTGTTTTAATAAAAGCACGTTGCCCACAGTTTTCTGTTTGTCAAAATGCCTGAGCAGGACTGGTACCTACTAATATCCCTCCAAATCACTCACCATCCTGATCTGGAAATATATTGCCATTCCTTCACTGTCACTGGATATAAATCCTGGAATTCCATCACAAAAGGGCACAGCACAGTAGTTCAAGAAGGCAGCTCACCACCACCGTCTCAACGGCAACAAGGGACAGGCAATAAATGCTGGCCGAGCCTGTGATATCCATATCCCACGAAAGAATTGTTGATGAAGTTCAGGAAATGAACTTGCTCATTTTATATCTGACTTCTGATTTACAAAATAAACAAAAACTGCCTTTATTTAAAGGGGTATCAGAAAGTTGTAAGATGTGATTTTGCCTGTAGAATTACCTCTGTATTGATTTATCAACCGTAATAATGAGAGATGCAGAACAGTTATATTTTCTCTGTCAGAAAAGTGGTAAAATCTGAATAATAACATGTAAACCTACAAATTGTCAATTGCAGAACAGCATGGCAAAGAACTATGAACAATACACCTACCCTCCAGGCCTTGAATGCTATTCTGTGCAAAGTAACATCTAAAAAGGAAAACCGAAGTTTACTATTTATTATTTACTCACAGATTGATCCCAACAGTATTGCAGCAAAAGATGGCCGCATAAGGGAAGGGGACCGAATAATTCAGGTACAGAAATGCTCCCTCCACTCGTGTGATTACGATTATGTGTTTATGTACTTTGTTTATGTATATATTATGTTTTCCACACGGTTACCTCAACATGGGTGGTTCAATTCTGATGCATTTAGAAAGAACTTTACAAGGAGCATTCAACGTTTTGCAACGAAGATTGACCTAATGTTGACCTGGTATATTTTACATAATATTAATGTTGTCGAAAAGGAGTCGAGCAGTTTCACAATTCAATAACTTAACCCTATTTTTGTGTCTTGTGCTTTTTAAAATAATTAGTACTCTTAAAAATGTTAGTTCCTGCCAATTTAACACCATTTGCTAGCCCCTGTTCTTTTCTTTCTGTGAGGGAAAATATCCAGGGGCTAACTCCTATGTTTTTACTCGTAAGTTAGGGGTTGTGCTGAGGTGGGCCACGTAAAGACCAAACGTACTTTATGCGCTGTAATTTTACAAAAAAACGTGTTCATCAAATGCCACTTAGAATTTACTGCTGGATTTCTAAGGTTGGAGTACTTGAACAAACAAATATTTGTTTTAAACTTGAAAAGGTAAGAGCTTGAATACCTTTTTATTTAATCGAGTCATTATGCAATTCCATCAACCGTAATAGATTTAATTATATTATTCATCAAGAAATGCGCAGTTTCATGGTCAACTTCCCACCTCTTCAACAGCAAGACTTATGATAATTAAGTCAATTAAATTGTGTTTTTATGCTTTCTATAGATAAATGGCAATGAGATCCAAAACAGAGAGGAGGCTGTGGCCCTGTTGACTAGCGATGAAAGCAAGAACATTTCTCTGCTTTTGGCACGGCCTGAGATGCAGGTAAGGGAATGTAATTTTTCGCCAGAAGGATTGGTCACCATTGAAATATGTGAACTCCACTTATCTCACTTGAATATGCACGCATTTACTCTCTTACATTAGCAAAGTTCTGTGAGGATCACAATGTGTTCAGCAATTTGTGAATGAATTTTTGATAATTTCAGAATTAAGGAGGGAATAAAATACGCACACAATATTGTATGCATTGAATTGTTTTCAGGAAACACAGATAAACAAACTTTCTTCTTTATTGGTATAGTTCAGGGTTAACTAAAATGTTGAACAGTGTGGAAATTGTCGCTGCTAAAGGGTCCCTTTTGGTTCACTCTAATAAAGAAACAGTACTGAGCACAAACTAGGAATTACCAGAGAGCTTCTTCCACTCAATTACCATAATTTTGCTGTTGTACAGGAGTGCCACACCAGTGAAGCCCTGAGAAAATTCCTGGCGACAGTTTTGAATTTGCGCTTTTATCTGTAGGTGTAAAATCCATGTATATCTTTCATCAGTATGAAGAGACCATCATTTCAATTGTTGGTATTGCTTTTCCTCCACCTCCTCTGTATTCATATTGGATTTTATCAATTTTGAGAAATCTTTCAACTGTCTTCAAAGATTAGCAGAACTTTGTCTGCTCATTGGAAGCAAAGTCTGGATTGGTCAGACTGGGGCCATTACAGAAAGGGTAATGGGTTGGGATCTTGATGTAATCCTGCCCTCTTGCAGGTTTCCCCTGAGCAGCTTGCATCTAGCGATGAACTGCCATGGAACTAGTATGAAGCAATTGTGGTACTGGAATGAAATGAATAGCCTTTTCAAGGATACCAAACTGACATGAAATGAGGAATATGAAGGGTGAAACCAATACCCCTGGACAGCATGCATGACAGGAATACCTTCCTAACTCTAAACTCACCAATTTTTTTGGGACAGCAATTTTGTGCAATATGTTACAAATGTCTTTGACATTTCTAAGGACCTTCTTACCTTATTGCCTACATTTGTTTTCCTGTGCCAAGGGAGTGCACTTATTCTGAAGTTGGTTAAACCACAAGAAGGATATGTAACTTGCATCTGCGTGTTACAGACAGCTGCATCCCAAAGGAGGTAATACCCTCATCAAAGTGTCAGTAGACTAACGGTTGGCTTCCCAGCCCTTTCTGATAGTAGTGCGTCTGAAGGCTCAGGTTTTTGTGCACAAGATCACAAACCTTTCCATCCTCTTGGAATAGACTTTGTCAGAGAGGTGTAGGTAGTCGTGACCCATGGCTGTCGAGGTAACTCAATGACTTTGCATTTTGGTCCTTCCAGTACTCAGCTGCTGGAATATGTAGACTGTGACAATCTGCAGCTGCCAACTGCATGAACCACATCACTGATGCCTTGTTTGTGACTTCTAAAGACAATAGAGGGTGACACATAATTGTATCTTTTGATCATATATATGTACTTCTCTTTTTAAGTATCTGTTGTATTACTTTTGTTGCTGCTGAACCTGGCTAAGTCGCACCAAATGGGAAATAAGCCTCAAACATCCGAGCTCTGGTTCTGCTCCTACAGGCAAGACAGGTCAATGGTGATGAGGCTGAACATTATTCATCTGTGCCTGTACTTTCCTCACAACAGAGCTGCAGAAAATTACAGTGAGGCCTGTAAATGTGGCACCTCATCATTCCACAGAGGTGACAACACAGTCAAAGATTGCTGACCATTTGCATCATTGAACCTTTTGCTCGCCAAAGCCATTGAAATGCCCTCAGAGTGTCACCAGGAACATTTACCTTGAAGGAGTGTGAATGGGGTGGCCATCTCCTATCTCATTGACAAAGCATCCTCAATATCATTAGGATTCTCAGTTGGATATGGGAAAATCATAAGATGTAAATGCTTGAACGTGTCCAGATGTAAGCTAAAATCCACAGTAAAACTGGAAATCACTCACAGTGACCGTACTTCGATCATTTGGCAGGTAGAAAAAGCCATGTGACAATTAAGCCAGCAAACCCTTTGTGTGTTGGGGTACCTATTTTCTCTGCAGACCAGGATACAAGAAAATTGAAGACATGAAGCAAGATCCCTGTGTGGGCATTCTCTCTCTCTCGCTGTCTCATTCACACATAAGTCCAAACATACTGTTTTTAACTATTCACATGCCCCAGACCGGAAAAAAAAAACTGAACATAGCAGTTGCTGTCTCGAAAAGAGCAAATAATACATTTTTAGAATCTTTAAATTAATTAAAGTATGCCTGTAAATAAATATTTAATTATCTTTAAATTACCTTGACACTAAAATTGGAAGTTCACTAAAACCTAGCCTGGAACCATCCAAGCCATCAGTTTATGAGATCTGCATCACTTTATCTCAAGGAAACCTTCTGGCTGAGTTTGTTACAGTAACAGTTTGTGAACAGTTAAATACTCACTGAATTGATAAGCACTTGCTGTGAGATGTGGCATCGGGAAGAGAGAGCCCCATTTGACAGCAGCCCAATAATCAGTTATATTCAGGACTAATTAAGGTTAAAGGAAGACTCTTGCGTAGTGTTGAGAAAAGGTCACTCAAAAAGGAAGCTCCTTCCTAGCCCAGCCAAGTCATGGCAATACCTTATCCCTTAAGACTACAATATCATCGTTCATTAAAAGAAATGGTCCAACTCCTCGGTTTACAGCCACATCCCACGTGTACTAAAGCAACAAAACCAATGCCCAATCAACAAGACTTGAAGAACAGTGACACTCCTTCAAGTGAAAGCTGTGAATTTTAATTTAGGCAGTGCCATCACAAAATAACATGGTAAGTTTGTTTAGTTTAATGTCCTTTCAAGGAGAATGCAGAGATTCATACTGAATAATTGCAGTTACAGATAGCAGAAGCTATAAACATCAAAAGGCAGTGACTCGAGGCATCTGAAAAAATTAGTTTTTTTCAACTTTCAGAGGTTATGACACTAACTGTACCTGTCACAGTTGCTACCAACTGTTTTATTGCACCACATAATGACACAGCTGAGACATAGGGGAAAACAATCAAAATATTAAGGTCTACATTTACTTGCTGCAACTTTTGTCTATGATAACTTTAATTTTAACATTATCAGTTTCTTTGGAGTGTTTCAATTTCTGTCCTGTTCTTTTGGAGTGTGGTGGAAACAGGATGTACTAACTTGAATTGAGTCACCGGTGAATCATTAAATTTACAGCATTGCAACAACAGTTTTGTTTTTCTGTTTTCAGGATTTGTGAGTTTGCTTTTTAATCCCACACACTTGAAAATACGCCAGTCTCTGCTTCGTACCATCCAAACATTTTAATGTCTCAAAGCATGACATTGCTAAAGGAAAGTGATGGCTCACAGTAATTCCACATAGTTATTTGCAAGGTTACTTCATGAATGTATCAACACTTTTAGGGCCTGCTTGTTTGCACAGTGTTTGAATCAGTTGCAAAGCATGGTAGGACATCTTAATTATTTAAAGGCAAAATACACTGGATGCTGGGAAAAAATCAGAAAAAAAAACAAAGTGCTGTTGAATACTGCCTGACATGCTGGGTTTTGCCAGTGCTTCTTGTTTCTTCCCCCAGTTTGTCTGACTAAGACACTGTGCCTGAATATCAGATGTGTAGCACGACTGGAAACAGCAATCTGGAAGTTGGACAACTTCCTGTTGACGAACACAGTACTGCCAATCTCCTGTATCACGTACCATTGTTGAAAAAGGCACTGATGTAGGTGTCCCTGTGTCCTTTCAGGCAAGAGAGAGAAACATCACCAATATTTCACAAAATATCTTCCATTGCTGCTTCCAAGAGATCACAGAGGCCAACTATTCGAGATGAGGGCTCTTCTTTCCTGAGGTTAGACAAGGTGGATGAAAGGGCTTATGTTTTTGTCAGGATAGCAGGATTCCCAAGGGTGCACGTTTACATCAACAACACATATGGCTCTGAAGGTGCCCATATTAGAATCATGGAATACTAAAATAATGACAGAAGTCATTTGGCCCATCAAGTCTGCACCAATCTTCAGAAGAGCATCCCACCCAGACCCACCCCGACACCCTATCCCCATAATTCTGCATTTCCCATGGCTAACCCACCTAGCCTGCACATACCTGGACACTATGGGCAATTTAGCATAGTCAGTCCATCTAACCTGCACACCTTTGGAATGTGGGAGGGTAATGGAGCACCCGGCGGAAACCCATGCAAACACAGGGAGAATGTGCAAGTTCCACACAGTCACTCAAGGCTGGAATCAAACCTGAGTCACTGGCTCTATGAGACAGTTGTGCTCACCACTGTGCCACCTTATTGCTAGGTACCCCAAGCATTTCCATTCCACAATGAGCAGTCGCTTTGAGGCCATTCCAAGACCATTATTTCCATGAGTACCCATTACCATAGCAGCAACTGTGCCCACCATCTTCTCCCTGCCTCCTAGAGGAGTTGGAGAGTGGCCATTGAAACTGATGGCCACTTACTATTATCCCCTAAAGCCTACTGGGAGAGCTTCCCAAAGAGCTGCTCATTGTGCAGGCATTCAGTCTGGAGAGCACTTCAGTACAATCTAAAAGAAGGCTCCAAGTTTGTGATTGTTTGCTGTGTCCTCTGTAACATTGTCATTTTGAGTGCACATCCACTACTGCCAAGGATCCGGAGGCCAGCTCAAAAAATAAAGCATGTAGGGGAACAAAAGATGGCATCCTGAATCCCTTTAAACAGGATGGCCAAAATCCAAATGGATGATCGCGCTCAGCTCAGATTGATATAACCACCCCAGACCATGACGGACCCGATGCTCGCTCCATCTGAGAGGCTCCATCATAGCATCCGCTGACTCTCGTCAAAAATTAAAACCCACCCACAATAACCTTTCCATTGCATCTTGATAACATGTCCAATTCAAATAAAGCAGAAGTTGCCTAGTCACTCTTGGCATTTGCCTTAGTACCTGTCTTTCAATTGTCTTTGCCTGTCCTAGTTCTCCTGCATGGTGTCACCTCAGTGACTGCAATGGGTACCTACCTGAACGGAGTAAACTTCGGGTGACCTTACTGCATGCCCTCAAACATCTCTAGGCCTTAAGATCAAAGCATCAGGCTGCACGACGTTAACATGAGTAACAGCAGTATGGCTGTCTAACCAACCAGCAACAGCAGGGGCGCTGACAGAATGGTGGTGCCAGAAGCATTGATGCTATTATCTTGAGAGACAACCACAGGTTTGTGCTCCACAGAGCATCTTCCACTCCCACCGGGCAGTGTCTCAGCAACCCTAGCAAACCTGTTGAAGGACAGTTGAGCACTGTAGGGTCTGATGGGGGTGTGGTGTATTGAGAAGTGTGATGGCTTGGTAATTTACAGGAAAGAAGAGGTCATGTGAAAATGTATTCATCGGCTTTGATCATGTGTATGAGGTCATGAAACTTCTGCCACCATTGTCAGAGTCTGAGTATTTAACCCCATTGCCACCTGTTCCCACTCCCTGCTGCTGCTCACCCATTCAAAACCTTACCCTGCTGTGGAAACACGGCCTCTCTCCTCGCTTTTCCTCCAACGCTAGTATCCCCAATAAGCCACCTGAAGGTCTTGGACCATACAGCATCTTGGAACGCTCCGGCTTGGTGGCCCATGTTCCTTTCCAATACTAATATTTCAATCTAAGTTATTTATAGCTTTCAGTTGTTCAACGCAGCTTCCTTTTAAAGGGGACAGTGTGTTGTTTAAGAGGTGTAGGCTCTTTGGAACACCTCCTGGCCTCTCTCACTTCCTAGGCATCCTTTTATCCATACAGCAAACCAACAGTCTCGATTGTGCTGAGCTGCGCACCATTGTCATATAAGCAGGAGGCCGGAGCCAATACAGATCATTAATTATAATCCTTTTGCTTGAAAAAAGTACAAACCAAAGCTGTCTCGAAGTAACTTTGTTCTATGCCAAGTTAACTGCTCTGAGGAGTGCAATAAAAGAGGAGAAATTTTTAGTTGAAAAATAGCAAAAGTCACACAAATCTTGCAGAAATCTATAAAAATATCAAACTTCCAGTGAAATTTCATCCTTTTTTCATAAATTTGGCTAATGTGGTTCATATTAACTTTCAGAACTGACTTAGTGATGTAATTCTTTATCTAATAATTTAAAATTTCCCATGTCAAAGTTTTTGACATGGTAGCAAAATTGTATTTGATTGTTCTGTTTTTAGAAGGAGCTAATTGCCTCCCACAGAACATTTGTTGATGACCCTGTCTTAATGTCTGAATCAGTGATGTGGGATTTGAAAATGTTATCAGGTGACTTTGAAGACTGAGTAACCTTGTCACCTATTGCATTCCATTTTCTAATATTGTCATGTTAAACCCCATTTAATGCAATCTCAACATGCTGTTTACCCACAAACTGAATTTTGAACACTATCCTCCGCATCATAAGGATTGCCTATTTCCATCTCTGTAACATAGTTCACCTTCAGCTCCACCTGAGCAACTGTTACTGAAATTGTCAACTGTCCCTTTATCGCTTCTGGATTCAGATATTCTCACGCTCCCCCAGACCACCATCGACCAGCTGTAAATTTCAGCTTGTCCGAAATCTGCTGTTCGTCAAGCCCACCACATCTAATAATTTCTCTGTTGTGCCAGCTGATTCCTTTTAGTGTGTTTGCGTTTTCTCACGACCATGAACATGCGCCATCTTGAAGGATCATTTCCCTTGACAGGGAACCTTGTGTGTGGAAACTTCTGGTTTGTTGCATGGGCATGCTGGTTAGAGGGAGCAGTGATGTCTATATCCTACTCTATATCAATCCTGCTGCCCTACCAGCTCTCATTGTTCTACATTGATTCTTGGTAGTGCCTCAGATTGAAAATACTTATCACTGTATTAATATTTCTGTGTGCTCTTGACACTCTCTCCCCAACTTGCTATTTTCTAAAATGCTTCAACCTCGCTAATCTCCCAAATCACCCTTTCACTGATTTCTTGGGTCCATCTTATCCTCCCTCATGTTTTCACCATTCATGGTTGTGACTTTAGCTGCCTGGAATTTTATTTCATAAGCTTCCCCATTTCCCGTCCATGCTGAAGACACTTCTTGAAGTTCACCTCTGTCACCAAGCTTTTGTCATTCTTCTTACTAACTTAGGGGCTGAATGGCCTGCTCCTGTTCCAGTATTCCTCCTGTAGCTCAGCATCCATTTATTTGATTACTCACCTGAGAAGGACCATGGCAAAATCTGTCTATGAAAGGCACTACATAAATGCAAATTGTTATTGCTTAACATTATACTATAAATAGGATCTGGATTGCGGAAACACTATAATCTATTTTTATTGCCTCTCTTGATGAAATGCAGTTGGATGAAGGCTGGATGGATGATGATCGAAACGATTTCCTCGATGACTTGCATATGGACATGCTCGAGGAACAGCATCACCAGGCTATGCAGTTTACAGCCAACATGCTTCAACAGGTACTGAGAACATAAGTTTTTGAGAAGATTTGTAGCTCGGGTTGTGGATGAGGTTGTGGACATGCTCGCCGAGCCACTGGGTTTGGTTGCACGCTCGGCGAGCATGTCTACAACCTCACTGAGAACATAACTTGAGTAACTGTACCTAAAACAACACTATAGCATAGAAATTCAATTCCACACTGGCCTTCATCCAAATGCAGCTTGGCAGAGGGAAATTCTTCAATGTTAGGCTGCCTGCTTCACTGACAGGAGCTCTCGGGTAGTCCTGGAAAATTGGTTGGAATGACCTACTGGAGAGATCCTAATGCCTGTGATGTCAGGGCAGCATTATTTGATTTGATTTGATTTATTATTGTCTTCTGTACCTAGGTCCAGTGAAAAGTTTTAATTTACGTGCAGTACAGGCAGATCATAACACAAAGACCTTAGGGTGATTGAACAGAGTGAGGAACACAAAGTTACATCTGCAAAGAAGGTTTATTGAGGTTTAAAAATGCAGAACGAGTGTAAGGGAAATGTGAGAATAAAAGCTGCTGTAGAGAGCTTTCAGAGAGTCATCCTGTGTCAGTGCCATCTTGAATCAAAATGACTGATTCTGATTGGGATTCTTGCTCTTCCTACCAACATAGATAGGCTTTCTGATATTTAACTTGTGCTTCTGAAGAATGGTCAGTAAGGCAGACCCTACCACTGACCTATTCTTTGCTACTATCACTAAAGGAATCTTTAGCAAGCATTAGGCCTCTAATTAGCAGTTCAGGGAAATCTAGATTTGTGTGCCTGAAACAAATTGACCCAAATGTTTTAGATATGGAATTAATATTGAGCATGGCCTTCCACTGTTAAATTAGTATTGATACAAATTTCAGTCTCATGTTTTTCGCAGTGGATGTCACACGTAGTTATTTGGCTCAAATATTATCTACAATATATCTCGCCAATGAACAAGTGTTAATTTTGAAAATTTACAACAGAAAGGATTACAGATAAAGATCTCAGAATACTTTAACATATATGCAGCACGAAAACTGTGTTCACTCCAGTTTTTAATAAATATTCAGGTTTGTTTTTGAGTTGTGCTTGTGGCATTAAAGGATGTCAGATTTAAAACGCAGATGAGGAGAAATTATTTCTTTCAAAGGGTCGTGTGTCTGTGGAATTCACAACCTCAGAGTGCGGTAGATGCTGGAACATTGAGTAAATTTAAGGAGGAGACAATAATGCACAATGGGTTGAAGCGTTATGGAGAGTGGACAGGAAAGTAGAGTTGAGGCCGAGATGAGGTCAGCTGTAATCGTATCAAATGGTGAAACAGACCCTAGGGGCTAAATTACCTGCTTCTGCTCTGAGTTCTTAGGTATTTTATGCATATATTGTTTCTCATTACCGGTAGTTTCTGGGCTTGTGTTAGTATTTATCTTGGGTAAATGTTACTTCTTTTTAAATTTAGAATTCCTGTGAATGAATAATGGAACATCCTCTCATCCTTATGGTGTCTTCACACATTTGCTAAAAGTAAACTCCTGGCATTACTTGTATGAAATTCAACAAGGTCAACCATTACGCTGTTGCTGCACTACACAAGTCATTGGGAATACTTTAGAACTGCTTTCAGGTCTCGCACAGCTCGCACTTCTTTCTCTCATTTTTATCATCATACCGCTTACCTCACTTTCCCTAAGCACTAAGCTATTTTACTATTTCACCTGACAGCCTCCCGCATTTTGTCTTTCAAAATTTGACCCCATTTTCCCCGCCATTTTGAATTTTCTTAATTGCGTTTTGAGACTTTGCAGATTTCCTGTCTCATATCATTTCACTTTGTTGTTTATTGCCTCTCCTTTTCTCAGAAATTAAACTGAGGGGCAAGATTGGTATAGTCACAACAACAGCCAGCAACATATCTATCCTATTCATGTCTCAAACTGCTTCTACCTCATAAAATATCAAATTACCCATATAAATATGTATGTTCTTTTTGACTATTGACCCTTAAAATGAAGCATATGATGTGAATCAGTGAATTACTGAGTTGTGATTACAGAAAATTACACCAAGTCGTGGTCAGTTTCTGAATCATCACCCTACACTGAGAGAGTTTCTTTTTTTTGGTCTTACCAAAAATGCTACATTAAATTTAACAATCACATCGAGGTTTGGGCTGTTAGCACATCTGTTCTGTAACTGCTGTAACAATTTCCTGCAAGCGCTGCCCAATGCACTCCAGCCAGAAAATACTGCAAATTGTGATGTAACAACAGCTAAACCTGTTTGTCCATTGTTGCAGTAAATGTTCTACGATGTTATCCACCAGAAATATCCTTATATCTACTGTACCAGCCATTCTCCCATCAATTTGCATGTAATAATAGAATGTTTAGACTAGTTTAGACTCTAAACTAATTTACTTTCACTACCACTTCTTTCTCTGAAAATTTTAACAACTGCACTTTATGCAGTTAGAATTAACACTTAATTTGTGAAGTACATGTTCCAGATGCTGCGAATATTTCATTTTCATGGGTTTATTGCCAGTTTGACAGAGGCTTTTAAACAATACAAGAGTAGATGTCATCAGCTCCCCATACGTAGAAAAGCTGTTCTGCAAATATTTAAATTATCGAAGTATTTTCTGAGCCACCCCATTGTGACGCAGCTCCATGGCAGGGAAATCTTCAACCCAGCCATTGTGACCCAAAGATATGGACACTACCAATACACCGCAAGATCCATACTAATATTTTGATCACACCAACTGGAATCAATAGCAATGTACATCTGGAAACGAAAGAATGATAATTTGTAATTTTTGAAAGGAGTACATTGCTCTTAACGGAAATATTTATTTCAATTTGTTGTAATCCTTGTACCATTCTGTAGTGAAAAATCTGGCTGAGCTAAAATTTTGTTTCAGAAACAAAAACAACTATTGCAGCCTGATCACAAGGCAAGAGTTGGTAAGCACCACTATTGCTTTTCACATTAAGTTCATTCATCCTTATCTTGAAGTTTGTTCTGCACAATAAGGTAGCAGCATCTATTACTCCCCATGCTGTGAATTTCTGATCTGTGTTGTCTGGGGACGATGCCAAGTCGAAACAGGGGAAGTCAGGGGAAACAATTGTAATTGGGCATGGGCAACAGCACTCAGATGCCACAAACAAAAATGTTGAAAATGACAAACCAATAGCTGCTCCTGAACATGAGGGGATCAAGAGAATTCAGAACCAAAATGATTGTGTATTAATCATTACATATATATTAATTGTGTTTAATTGCATGCAGGTAATGAGCATTAATTCCGGTTTCACTTGAACCCTTATTAATACAAACAAGTTAAAACTTGGATTAGAAAGTGTATACATGCAACATGTAATTATGTTAATAAATATAAAAGTGTATAAAGATTGGCTCCAGTTTTATCCTTCACCAACAGCTTCCAGGAGTAGAATAATTTGCTTGTCCTGCAAATGGAACAAGAAAAGTAACTAATGAAATTGTAAACTAGTCTATTACTATCATAACAAATATATCTTAAATGACAGCAGTTACAATGACAGAGCTCTTTCTAATAGTTTACATTCTTGCTTTCTAAATGATAGGTTCCTTTGTTCTGGCATGAAAAATAGTCAGATTTAGGTTAACCGACCCTGATTTTAACATTCAAGTTGCAGGTAAGTTCAAATAAAGGCAGAGAATTTATCCCCTCAGATCCTGCTGGCTAAGAATGTAAAAACATATGAAATAAGAGCAGGAGTAGACCATACAGACCTCAAGCCTGCTCTGCCATTCAATATGATCAACTTCTAAGTCAGCTCCATTTTCTCACCTCCCTCTTCATATTCCTGAGAGACCAAATTTCGATTCATCTCAGCCTTATATAAACTCAATGATGGATCATTAAAATAATTCCAAAGATTCACAATCTACAAACTAGAAAAATTGCTCATCATCTCAATCCTAAATGATACCTTACCCTGAGAATATACCTCCATATTCTAGGTTCTCTGCAGTCAGGTGAAACAGTCTCTGTGCATCTGCCCTATCAAGCCCGTTCAGAATTTTGTGACTGTGAATGAGATCATCCCTAATTCTTAGAGTATCCAGGGATTATTAGATCACTTAGCCTGTTACTATAGGCCTTCCCAATGTATCCTTATGTTAATTTGCATTTTGAACAAAAGACCAAGCCAATTGGATCTTGTTTAAGTATTTACATCAGAACCCAATTACTCTGATTGTCTATCTTAGTTGAAGTCTTAGACCTACAACATTGATGGCATCCCTGTGGGGTCAAACATATTGGAAGCTAGATCATGGGCCAGAAGAGGCATGGGTTCCAATGTTTAAACATTTTAGTTTGGGTATCCTTGTGGCTGCCATGGGTCCCACATTTTAGCTGTGGGTGTTACTCGTTTATGGCTCCAAGCCCTTACCCTGATCCCATCTGGAGTCCAACTACTTGCCTGACTACTTGCTAGAGACCACTTCTGCAAGTTGTTAGTTGCAGGGGGCTGGCTCTGCCTTGGTCTAGGTGACAGTCAAAGCATGGAGATAAGCCAGGCCTCCTAACCCTTAAACCCTTCCCCATTTCACCTGCACTGCCACTTCACATGCTGCATGCCTGACCTGCTCCTTCACTCCATCTACCTCCCCCACATTCACTTCTAAAATCAGGGCCAGCACCGTTAATGACTACGTATTTTGGATAAAACATTCGAAATACACAGCAATTTGTTCAGTGTCTAACGAGTTAATATTAGAAAGTTAATCAGATTCTGAAACAATGAGCTGCTTCAGTTTTCTTTCCAATTTCTGTTATTTGTAATATTTTGTAAAAGAAGTCAATGTATACTAACTTAGTGCAGAGTGTTTTCCTGCACAACAGCTTCCCAACCTTTTCACTTTACTGCATCCTATTGATACGACACACTTCAAGTCAACTACATTTCAGGTGACGTGGATGTTCTTAGACTTGTTTTTTTTTGCCTGTTCTCTTCAATGCCTTTGTGTTTCAGAAAAAGCATGAAGAAGAAGAAGGCACGACAGATACAGCCACGATATTGTCAAACCAGCACGAGAAGGATAGTGGTGTTGGGCGTACTGATGAGAGCACTCGAAATGATGAAAGTTCAGAGCAGGAGAACCTCGGAGATGAGCAAACCACTTCCAATACCCTCAGTCGCCACATGAAGCTCATGTACAGCCAGGACACTCTTGGTAGTGGCGACATGCCTTTCAGTAATGAGTCGCTCATGTCGGGCGACTACACAGATGTGGATTTTCTTGGTATTCCGGCTGATGAGTGCGAGAGGTTCCGCGAACTGCTGGAGCTAAAATGTCAGATGCAGAGTGCCAACCGGTATAGCCTGTACTATCACAGCAGTACTTTGGATATGAGTAAAAATGACCAGGAAATTGTTGACCGAGAACTTGAAATGTTGAACGAAGAATTACGCAACATTGAGCTTGAGTGTCTGAACATTGTGCGAGCCCATAAGATGCAGCAGCTGAAAGAGCAATACAGAGAGTCATGGATGTTGCAAGACAGTAGTTTCCACAACTATAACACCAGCATTGACAGCCGTCGACACGAGCTCTCCGACATCACCGAGCTGCCCGAAAAATCCGATAAGGATAGCTCCAGTGCCTACAACACTGGTGAGAGTTGCCGAAGCACACCACTGACATTGGAATTGTCTCCCGACAACTCGTTGCGCAGAACACCTGAAAATGTCAACAGCGAAAGCACCGAGGGAACAGCCAACAATCCTGCTTCCAACGGCTCAGCTCAAAAGCCACTATTGTCCCTTGCCAGAGGCCGAGAGTATAACCCCTCAAAATCCAACTCTGCTACCAAGGAATCTGACCACGGCCACCAGTCTGAGGGAAAGGAGGAGAAAAGTCTTGCCGAGGGCACCAAAGGCCAGGCTTTCACCCATAACTCAGGTTCGCGAAACATCCCCTATCCAACCACATTCCACCATTCCCCATATAGACATGCTCATATCCCAGCACATGCTCAACACTATCAAAGCTATATGCATTTGATACAACAAAAATCTGCCGTAGAATATGCGCAGAGCCAGATGAGCCTTGTAAGTATGTGCAAAGAGCCACCTTCTCAGGAATCCTCGAATCAGTTAGAGCCCAAAATGGAATGGAAGGTAAAAATCCGAAGCGATGGAACCAGATACATTACCAAGCGACCCGTCAGAGATAGACTTCTGAAAGAACGTGCACTGAAGATTAAAGAAGAGCGCTGTGGTATGACCACTGATGATGATGCGATAAGTGAGATGAAAATGGGCCGTTATTGGAGCAAAGAAGAACGTAAGCAGCATTTGCTGCGTGCCAAAGAGCAGAGAAGACGGCGTGAATTCATGATGCAGAGTAGATTGGAATGTTTGAAAGAACAGCAGAGTACAGACGAGAAGAAGGAAGTGAACATAATTGAACTGAGTCACAAAAAAATGATGAAGAAAAGGAGCAAAAAAATATTTGATAACTGGATGACAATACAGGAACTGTTAACCCATGGCACTAAATCACCTGATGGAACAAGGATATATAATTCCCTGTTATCTGTAACTACTGTTTAAGTAAGCTTTTTCACGCTGTACATTTAATACTACCATTTGAGGTAGAAAAGGTCTTGCCTCGTTAAAAGTGGCATATTTTGTAAATATATAAAACGAGCCAGTAATCCATATGTGAATGGAAGTGCTATATACATATCAGAAATTGATTTGATTATTCCTTTGTAGCGTACTTTAAGCAACTACCTGATATCTCGTTTTCACATTGCTTAGAAGTTATTACCTACAAGTTATTACCTTTGGAAATTCACATGCCAATAGACTCTAGTCATTGTTATTATTTTATATAAATTGGAGTCTCCTAAGAGGTATTTAGGTATGAAATGCTATTTGCCTTGTTCACACAACAATTTGCAGTCATGTGTCTTTTTATACAGAAAAAAGATCTGTCTTGAAAAGATAATTTCTTGCTGTTCTACTTGTAACTAGCTTAAATTTGAATCAGTTTTCAGCTGGAAGAATCTGAAAAAATAGTCCTGGAAAGTGTGTAGACTTAAGCATTTCTGCTGGCAAAACAAGCTGCAGTAAGTTAGAATCAACATACTGCAAATGCAGGAAATCTGAAATAAAAACCAAGTGCTGGAGAAACTTGAGCAAGCCTGGCAGCATCTATGAAGAGAGAAACAGTTCATGTTTATGATGTTGTATGACTCTTATTCAATTTAAAACATCAACGGTTTCTCCTTCCACAGATGTGTCCAGACCTACTGAGTACTTACAGCATCTTCTGTTTTTATTGCAGTAAATTAGAGCTGTTTTCTTTGCATGTACATAAATATAATTTGTTTATGTGAAACAGATTGTGTAATTGTGAAACCCCTTGTAGTTAATTGTGTACTTTGTAGGCCTTGATGTATTGACCTAATACAGTTTAATTAATATTTAGTTAGTTACACACTTTTGATGTCTTGTAAAAGATGAATATAAATTATTGTTTTGTATATGAACTTCAGTTGCGTGTTGTACTGCTTCAAATAAACAAATTTGACAGCACCCTTAATTTCAGCACTAGCATTTTGCAGCAGCTAGATCTGAAAATTTGCAATATTAATATTCAATACTTACATTCACAGCCAACATGTCTCGGGTAGCTTGACAAGGAAATTAGTACATCTGAACTTGTCCTTTTCCAATCTCACTCAAATGGCTAATCTAGCAAATCAAATTTGAGTTTAAATGTCATTCTTGCTGGTAACTAGTGAAAATTATTATATCAACTACAGGACACCCTCAAAGGCTGAGTTATTTTAAGGCTCCTAGCACTTGATTCCATCACTTTCATGCAACCATTCAATATTACATTATGGAAAAATTACCTCAATGTAAATAAATATTAAATTCCTGAGAACTGCTGTCATAATACAGTGCACAGTCGACGATTATAGTCACCAATTATTTACAATTTACTGGTCCATCCTTGGAGCATATTTCAGCAGTTTCTTCTGTGCTTTGGATAGCTTGGCACCCCCAGAAAATGATCTCCCCCACCCTTCTACCTTCACTGAGGCCAACCTGACCCACTTCCCACATCTGCTGCCTTACACATCTGGTATCCTATCCCTGCACTCTACCCCCTTCTCCACCTGGCACCCAACCCATTTGTCACCCTACTAACCTGTCAATTTACCCCCTACTCATCCAGAATCCTACCCATCACCACCCACCCCCCTCATGCATGGGATGCCCTCACTTCTCAGTACTTGTCAAACTTAACGTTTGATAGAAGATGTCAAAATGGCTGTCAGGACCTTTTAAGTTTCAGAAGACTGCAGCTGACAGCTTGGAAAACGGGGCATGGTTTGTCTTTCTGTGACAGTCCTACGATACAAAGAAGCATTCACACTGGAAGTACGGTTCCACATTTAGAGTCATCATAGAGTTGTACAGCACGGAAACAGACACTTCAGTCCAACTCGTCCATGATGACCAGCTCCCTTCTTTTGTTTAAAACAAATGGCCAGAGTAGCAATCTGTGAGAGATTGCCTCTTCTCGGAAAATCCAACCATGTACTACCTTAGTGTCTGACCAGGGGACACGGCATTCAAATGCATGGGACAACATAAAGTTACTTTCCTTGTCTAAACACACCCAGACTCACCAGAAAAAATTAGGGATGTTCATTCCAATGTAAGTTAGAAGGGGAGGCACTAGCCTAGCGGTATTATTGCTAGATTATTAATGTAGAAACTTGGCTAATGTTCTGGTTACCTGGGTTCAAATCCTGCCACAGCAGACAGTAGAATTTGAATTCAATTACAAATCTGGAATTAAGTGTTCAATAACGACCATGAATCCATTGTCAATTGTCAGGAAAAACCCACTTGGTTCACTAATGTCCTTCAGTGAAGGAAATCTGCCATCTTTACCTGGTCTGGCCTACATGTGACTCCGGACCCACGGCAATGTGGTTGACTCTAACTGCCCTCTGGGCAATTAGGGATGAGCAATAAATGCTGCCTAGCCAGAGACACCCACATTGGTGAGTAAGTTTAAAAAAAAAAGGTACTGTGTGTTTAGCCGTTTTTATTGCCAAACACCACCACTAGTGGAAAATTCTCATTTCCGAGCGTAAAGTCAATGACGGTTTCAGTTTTTTAATTTGTTTTGATTGTTTCTCTTGATCCAATTTTTCCCATACTTAACTTGACTTTCTCGATATGATCTGACACTGAATTAAATATGCTGGCACTTCCTAGTCAAACATCATCATTCAATTGCAGCTCTTCAGTCTGAACGTTTGTGTGGTTGAGGAGATATGATTTCTTGTCTAAGTGTTCTGTAAAAAGCAAGGCACTGAAATGGCTGCCTCTGCAGCAAGTTCCAGCACAAAATTCCATTGTCACTGTAATACATGGCTGAGATCATTTATTCACTCTGTGAATTCAAATCCCTCCACTAGGACAGTGTGAGGAGAAGTGCCACAAATGGGGCTGGTTTCAATGCAACCTGTTGCAGAGGGAATGATGGTAGCTGCGCCCACTTAATTGTGGGAGACGCAGCACTTACGAAGGGCATATAGAGACTAAACAATAAATGCTGGCTTTGCCAATGATGTTCACAGCCCAAGAATGGTGTTGATTTATTCTCATTGTTTGCAATCTCTAAACTAATCTATCAACCGCACACTGAAACATGTGGAATCACTGAATTATTTCTGGACTTCTGCTTGTCCTGTGCGTACATAGACTACTAGAGTTGTTAATTTCAGTGGTGCAATGTTCCTGAATGAATTCTGACTATTTCACCGTCAGTCCCTTTGCAAAACTTTGGGTCAATAGGTTCTCGGTTATTGAGTGAGAAATTCAGTTTTTTTGGCTAATGTCTTGGATACAAATGTGCCCAATCTCCCATAGTGCATGGGCCACCACATTGGGTTTGGGCCTACTTAGTCCCAGGGAACCAGCTGAGAATGGGAACTTTCTTAAAATAAGAACTCTTCATCTATTAATGGGCCCCTTCCTTTCGGTGATTTTTAGGAATGCCAGATTGACTGTTTCCTAAACTTGTTTGGTAATTCTCATTAACAGGCCATTCAGCCTCTTAAGCATGTTTTGCCATTCTAGTTCCTGACTGATTATCTTCTTCAGACCATTTCCCTATGTTATCTCTATGTCACTTGATAATATTTGGATCTACAAACCTTTCAATTTCTGTCTTGAACATACTCAAAGACTAAGCCTCAACAGCCCTCTGGGGAAGAGAATTCCAAACATTCATTACCCTCTGAGTCAAGAAATTCCTCCCTAGTAAAAGTCCTAAATAGCTTGCCTTTTTTTCTGAGATTGTGTTGCCTTGTTCTTGACCACACCCACAGCCCAGAGACACATCCTTTCTGCATCTACCCTCTTCTTGTCCAGAAGTGATTGTATAAAATTTTAATGAGATCAGCTTTCATTTTTCTAAACGTTAGTCAACACAGGTCCAGCCTCCTCAGTACAGTCCAGTCCAGTGAACCTCTGCTCCTCTCCCTCGGGCAACTGTTACCTTTCTTTGGTACGGGGGGGACCAAAACTGTGCTCAATACTTGAGGTCTGATCTCATCAGGTTCTTTACAATTGGAGAAATACGTCTTTATCCCTGCACAAAATCACCTTCCAACATATCAGCTGACTTCAAACTAAATACGTCTCTGGTTGGTCTGATTGAGCAGCTAGTGAATTTTTTTAGGCCTTGTTTTGCCTCTGTTCAAAACATGAAGATTTTTTTGTGAGCTCCAGCTCATGCTCTATTCAGCGTCCCTGATATCAATGAAATTACAGCCGGGGTTCTGTTCAGCTGATGGTGGTCTCACTGTTAAGTGTGAGAGCTCATTGGGAGTCCTGTCATTTCTGTAGTAGGCATCGCACTATTAAGAAATTAAGAAGGCGTCAGTTATCTTCAGGCATTACCTGTGATTGAGATCGTTGGCAACAGAAACCATGCCCACTGAGGGCTGCCAGCCAATAAGAGATCAGAACCTCATGCCACCAATGGGATCAGTTGTTGCTGGCAGCAATGCCTCCAAACAGAGGATCATTGTAGGACTGCAGGCTAGGGATGGGTGAAGATGGTATCAAGGTCACAAGAAGTGAGATATCAGGGGCAAGGACAGGATGGTGGCTCGGCTTATGTCTGGCCCTTTAATTGGCCACTGAGTTCCTGATCATAAGAGTCTTCTCCCACCCACCCCACAAATCCGCTGACAAATCCTACAGGTTTTGTAGGGCAGCTCTCCAAGGACATGAGCAAGCTATATGACTGCCATTTAATCTCTATATTACTACTAAATAAGCCTGAATATCAGGCTTCAATCAGCTCATTAGTGAGCCTAATTGATAACCCAGATGAGCTGATGATGGCTACCACCATCCAACTTAAATAGGGATGCTTCCTTGTATCAGGAGACTGAGATTTGGCCTCCCCTGTGGTTATGTGAGCCTGGCCACCAGGTTTCCTTCTGCGAGCAATTTAATGAAATCCAGTGTGTGCAACCTGGTTTACCATTGCAGCTGGAGGATGTGTAAAGGCTTTAAAAAAAAGGAAGTAGAGACCTGAATATTTGCAAGAAGAGGGGGCAGATGAGGAGCAAGCAGGAAAGCATTTGGGCTGATTGTCTTCAATAGAATCATAGAATACCCCGTACAGCCCATTGAATGTACTCCGACCCTCTGAAGAACATCCTACCAGACCGAGCAACCTGCCCCCAACTCTATCCCCAAAAGAGCTGACAACCTGAACGTAACTGAGAAGCAGCATGGTGGGCAAATTATTGGAAAGGGCTATGAGAGATAGGGTTTATGATCACTTGGATAGGCACAGTTTGATTTGTGATAGTCAGCATGGATTTGTGAGGGGTAGATCATGCCTCACAAACCTTATTGAATTCTTTGACCAAACACGTGGATGAAGGTAGAGCAGTTGATGTGATATACATGGATTTAAGTAAGGCGTTTGAGAAGGTTCCCCATGGTAGGCTCATGCAGAAGGTAAGGAGGCATGGGATAGGGGGAAATGTGGCAGATTGGGTTCAGAATTGACTGACCCTTAGAAGACAAAGGGTGGTAGTGGACGGAAAATATTCAACATGGTGCTCAGTTACGACAAGGATCTGTTCTGGGTCCTCTTCTATTTGTGATTTTTGTAAGTGATTTGGATGAAGGAGTGGAAGG